TCCCTCCGCGGCCTTCGGGCCCCGCCCCCACCGGAAGTAGCAGCAGCCGAGCCCCGCCCCCAGCCCGGCCAGGAGGAGGAGCCCCCCGAGGGCGCACAGCGCCCCCTGCAGGATGGGCCAAGCAGGATCCTCCGCGCCGGCAGGGGGCGCTGCCGGCTCCTCCTGCTGCGGGGGCGGTGCCTCGGGCAGGGCTGGGGGGAGGGGAAAGCAAAAAAAAGGAACTTCCGGTGAGGTTTTAGTCACTTCCGGTTCACCTCCTGTTCCAATCCCAGCCTGCACCTGCGCCTCTGGCCACGCCCATCCCCTTTCTACCTTCCCCATGGCTGCTTCCGGTTTAAATCCCTTACTTCCGGTGCTGCTGTAACTTCCGGTTCCGGTTTCTGTTTGCACCCCAATGTTTACCATCAAAAGCAGCCGCTTCCGGTTTTCCCGCCCACTTCCGCTTTTTGTCCATCCCATTTCCGGTTCTGCCCCGGCAACATCCGGTTACCAAAAATCTCATCCCCGGCAAGTCACAGCTTCCGGGTTACAACCGGAAGTCACCCATCACCACTTCCGGCGGCCATTTTTGCTCCCGCTTTTTTCCTGACGTCACCTCCAGGCCCCGCCCCCTTTCGTCTTTCCCAAATTTGTGCGTTTTGGCGCCATTTCCCTACCGGAAGTGACGGCTCTCAGCCGCACGGGGGCGCTCTCCCCGCGGGCGTTGCGCGCGCGCACGGTGACGTCATAGGGCGTGGCCGGGCGGAGCCCGCCCAGCGTGAGGGAGAAACCGGAAGTGACGAGAGCGGCGGGTGGGGGAGGGGCGTCCGGCCCGTCCGCGCTGTGGGGGAGGGGCGGAGAGAAAGTGAGGAGGGGGCGGGGTAGGAAGTGAAAGGGGGAGGGGCCGAGAAACCTCGTGAGGAGGTGAAAAGGGGGCGGGGCCACGCGGGGAACCATTAAAGGAGCCGGAAATTGTATGTGGGCGAACCGGAAGTGACACAATAGAACCGGAAGTTGTGGGGGGACTGAAAGTAACACAGAGAAGAAAGGACCGGAAGTTCGGATAGGCGGACAGGAAGTGACTCAGGATAACCGGAAGTGGCGTTGGTGAGACCGAAAGCAACACAGAGAACGCTGGAAGGGGCCGGAAGTTCCGACCGGAAGTGACGCAAGACAACCGGAAGTTGGGGTGGAGAGACCGGAAGTGATGCGGGCACAGCTTAAAGTGGCCGGAAGTTTGTGCGGGTGTGCCGGTTGTGACGTCACACGCCCCGGAAGCGGGTGGGGAGGGGGAAGGGCACCCCCTACCGGAGCAGGAAGTGCTGGGGCAGGCCGCCGTCCCAGCCCGGCTCCCAGGCCACGCCCACCGAGGTCCCCGAGAGCCCCGAGAGCCGCAGGGCCCGCGGCGGGTCCGGCCGGTCTGGGGGGGACGCCGGGACCGTCCCAGTGCTCCCAGTATGGTCCCAGTGCTCCCAGTATGATCCCAGTGCTCCCAGTGTGATCCCAGTACCCACAATGCCCCTCCCAGTACAAACCAGTAACCCCAATTCCCCTTTTTATCCTTTCCCATCTCTCCCAGTACGATCCCAGTATGATCCCAGCACTCCCAGTATGATCCCACTGCCCCCAGTATGATCCCAGTACTTCCAGTACGATCCCAGTATGATCCCAGTGCCCCCAGTATGATCCCAGTATGATCCCAGTACTCCCAGTACAATCCCAGTATGATCCCAGTACTCCCAGTATGATCCCAGGATGATCCCAGTACTCCCAGTACAATCCCAGTATGATCCCAGTGTTCCCAGTATGATCCCAGTACTCCCAGTACGATCCCAGTACGATCCCAGTACAATCCCAGTATGACCCCAGCACTCCCAATGCTCCTCCAGTCCCTCCCAATCCTCTCCCATTACAAACCAGTCCCTCCCAGTATAAACCAGTATAAACCAGTAACCTCAAATCCCCTCCCAGTCCATCCCAGTGTCCTCCCAGTATAAACCAGTATCTGTAAATAACCCCTCCCAGCCTATTCCAGTCCCCTCCCAGTGCTCCCAGTACCTCCCAGTATAAACCAGTAACCTGGAATCCCCTTTTAATCCATCCCAGTCCCTCCCAGTTTGTCCCAGTCCCTCCCACTCCTTCCCAATCTCTTCCCAGTTTGTCCAAATTCCATCCCAGTCCCTCCCAATCCCCTCCCAGTTCCATCCCAGTCCTTCCCAGTCCTCCCCAATCCCTACCCAGTTCCCCCCAGTCCCTCCCAGTTTATCCCAGTCCATTCCAGTTTCCCTCAATCCCCTCCCAGTCCCCCCCCAATCCCTCCCAGTCCCTCCCAGTTTATCCCAATCCCCTCCCAGTTTATCCCCGTCCCCCCCAGTCCGCTCCCAGTCCCTCCCAGTCCCCCCCAATCCCCTCCCAGTCCATCCCAGTCCCCCCCAGTCGTCCCCTCCCAGTGCTCCCAGTACCTCCCAGTATAAACCAGTAACCTGGAATCCCCTTTTAATCCATCCCAGTCCCTCCCAGTTTGTCCCAGTCCCTCCCACTCCTTCCCAATCTCTTCCCAGTTTGTCCAAATTCCATCCCAGTCCCTCCCAATCCCCTCCCAGTTCCATCCCAGTCCTTCCCAGTCCTCCCCAATCCCTACCCAGTTCCCCCCAGTCCCTCCCAGTTTATCCCAGTCCATTCCAGTTTCCCTCAATCCCCTCCCAGTCCCCCCCCAATCCCTCCCAGTCCCTCCCAGTTTATCCCAATCCCCTCCCAGTTTATCCCCGTCCCCCCCAGTCCTGCACCCCCCAGCCGCAGCCGCAGCCTCCTCCTGGCCGTGCCCCTCCCGTTGGTGGCCACGCAGTCGAAGACGCCCACGGTGCCGTTCCCGCCCTCCCAGTGCTCCCAGTGCTCCCAGTCCGGCGGCGCCGGGGGCACGTTCTGGTAGCGGTAGCGGGGCCGGGGGCCCCGCCGGGACTGGTGGGACTGGTCAGACTGGTGGGACTGGAGGAAGCGGCGGCGCAGGCGCGCGCGGGCCCCGGTGACGTTGGTGACGCTGAGCACGGAGCTGGTCCAGGGCCCCTCGCGCCACTGGAGCTCCTGGAACGGCGAACTGGGACCAGTATGGGGGAGGCTGGGGTCAGGGGGGGCACTGGGAGGGACTGGGGGGTTATGGTGCGAGTGCAGCGGCCAGGCTGGCTCAGGCTCCTCCCGTTCCTCTCCCAGCTCAGCTCCACCCCCGGCACTCCCCGCGCTCGGCACCGCAGCGTCGCTGACTCCGCCCCCTCGGGCACCAGCACCACCCCCGGCCCCGCCCCCTCCTCTGGCTCCGCCTCCATCTCGGGACCGTCTGAAAAAGGGGAGGGGTCAGGGGGAGGGCGCCCCCTGTTGGACGCTCTCATTGGCTGATTCACCATCAGGGCGACCCCTACTGGCGACTGCCATTGTGGCCACGCCCGTCATTGGCTGCTTCCCTTTGCCCCACCCTGTTTGGCTCCTCCCCCATGAACCCCGCCATCTTTGGCCCCTCCCCCACGCTTCTGATCCCCTCCCCTCCCCCTTTAGCCCCTCCCCAT